GATTAATTTTGAAGGGGCCGACTATAAAAGAAAATTACAATCTTATCCTTAAAACAATAACTTAGTTTTCTTAAATAAAAGACTTTATATACAATTCATAATAACACAATCACTGCTCTGTAAAAACGTTGAACGCCGAACAAAATCAAAACCATCCAAATCGAAAATCCTATGCTGCGAGAACTCTGGTCGGAATAAAAAATGAATATCGTATATCGATAAGGAAAAAAAGGGATACAATATTGACAAGCGAGATTGCCGTGGAAACCGTTAAGGAAATGATTGTTACTTCATTGGTCTTATTTCACAAAACTGCCTATGAGTAAAACAGTCATATCACTATGCCTCAAGAGGGTCTGCCAAATTAACACCAAAATTTGGATTTTTGACTAAGGTGGAAGAACCCATAGGACCTCCTTTTATATATTTTCAGAAATAGAGAGCTATCACATATTTTCCCAAAGTTTATATAAACCATGATAAAGTATAACAATTTTCAACTCGGATAATATTGAATTTTCCTACTATCAAATAAAATATGACTAATTAATTAATTAATTATTAACTGTCATTTTTTCCTATAAAGATATACATCATAATGAGATTGAGATAACGAGATTAAATAATAATAAGTAAATAACATTACACCGCCTAAACTTTGCCAATTTTTGCGGATTACCACCTCAACAAAGAAAAGAGTCCGATCCTATCCGTACTCAATAAGTTGTGCAACATTGCTCCTTTTTTTTTCTCATGTTCAGGCCAAAATAGCCGAAAATGAAAAAATATGCGTTGCACATGCGATTTAGAAGGGTTTCTTATTTTTTATTTATTTTTATTTTTTTTTTATTTTTATTTTTTTTTTATTTTTTGTCTTTTCAAAATCACAAGTCCCAATTTCTCAAATTCCTCTTTTATTTCTCACAATTTCTCTCTTCTCTCCTCTATTCCTCCACATTCTCTCTTCTTCCTCCTCCGTTTTTGCCGACGATTTTACCCCAAACACCGTGACAACCTCGATTCTAGATGGTTGGAGAATGTTGGGGGAATTCTCTATGACGTGTGATTTGAGTGCTTCTATGGATGATTTGGTGAAGGTGAATCGTTTGGTGACGAATTTCGTGGAGAGGGGTTACTTGATTGGTAAACTGGAGAAATTGGTTTGAACTCGGAGGTGTTTTTCGGAAAAAAAGAATGGATCAGTCGAAGAGAATATAAAAGCAGGTTGGGCTGAATTTCTATCTCCGTAACATATCAAAGGATGAAGAAGAAGAAGAGAAGAAATGGAGAAAAAAGGAAGAAGAAGAGAAGAAATGGAGGTGAAGTAGCGAAGAAGCAAACCATAGGAAAGGGTGAAGAAGAGAAGAAATGGAGGGGAAAAAGGATTACTTAGGTGGTTTGGGGATTTTGATTTGAATAGGCAATTAATTCCTAAAAATAGCCATGTGCAATGCACATGTTGTAAATTTCGGCCAAAATGGCTTGAAAATGGGCAACCTGACACAGAGTTTGGGTGTGATTGTGCAACTTATATTTTTATTTTTGTTGAGGTGGTGATCCGCAAAAACGGAAAAAGTTTAGGCGGTTTAGTGCTATTTACCCAATAATAAATTTGGTAAATTACAACCATCCCTGAGGTAAGGTCAAATTAAGAAAAAAAAACCCTTCATGTTTAGGTAATTACAGCAACCCCTCTCAACTATAATCTTCTTACACATCCACCCTTATGGCGTCAAATTAAACATAATCTTCTAGATTATGTGGAATGATCTCTAGTTTGTACTCGTTTTATGCAAAAGTGCAGTTTCTAATGCACCACAATTCGATATATACAGGCTCTAAAACACATCTTATGATCATCTTGCTTCAAGATGTGGAACTCGAATGGGATAAAATGGGTATAAATTGAAGAATATTTCACATAATCTAAAAGACTCCACTAAATTTGACACCGCAAGGATTAACGTTAAGAAGATTCATAGTTTAGGGGTGGTTGTAATTACCCAAAAAAGACAGAGTTTTTTTTTCCGTAATTTGACCTTACTTCAGGGGTGGCCGTAATTTACCTAATAAATTATAGGGGTAATATGCTATGAGTCCCTCAAACGAAACATAATTTGAACTAAATGACAAGTCCAAATTCATTCATAGTACACCGTAGTATACCATAGTTTACTACAGTATTAAAAACAAAATTGGAGTTAAATAATTAAAAAAAAGTTGTAGGTTGAATTAAAAAAAAACGAAAAACGTGTTGTCTTTGTAATATTCAATATTATGTAAAAAAAAAGATTTTTTTTAATAATAGTTTAATACATAATACAACATAATGTACCATAGTACACCATAGTATTTTTAAAATCTGCTATATTATTTAATAAAAATGAAAAATTATTTATTTCGTAATTTTCAATAAAAAATGAGAAAGAAAAATAAGTTGTCTATAATAATGTAAAAAATGCTAAAGTGAAAAACAAAAAAATAAAGATGAGTGAAGGGCATTTTTGAAATGAATTTAATAAAGGATGTGAAACAAATATTTAGTTGAAGTTGTTATTTAGTTCTATTTACTTTTGTCACGGGGACCTATATCTTAAGATCCCTAAATTATAAAATTTATAATACAAGTACAATAAGTTGGTGAGAGAATTTCCATACACAGACCCAGTCCCTTGGCCCTAAATCATCGACAAATTTCACCAGGAATGAATGCATCATTTTCGAATTTTGCAGGGAATAAAGCGATGCAGCAAGCTGCGTCTCTCAATCCAAGGCAAGTGTCTTCACGCCTATGCCATCAAGACTGGCTTAGACCAGCATCTAGCCCTCTATCCCAACACATTCATAGACATGTACGGCAATGCGGCCATCTGAAAGACACCGTCAAACTGTTCGACGAAATGCCGGACCGAGATTTAGTCTCTTGGGCATCAATTTTCACCGCGCACAATGAAGCCAACCTCCCCCATCAAACCCTCTTCTTGTTCTCCGATATGCTGTCTAGGGATGGTCTCCAACCGGCCGTTAATTATTATCTTTTTTTATTTGTCTTAAAAATTTCCCGTCATTGAGCTGCGTTGACGTTTTCTATTTTTCTTTTATTTTGACTTCTTTTATGATATTATTTTTCTCGCTGACTATCATCTTTGACTTTATTTTTTAAATTATATTATTCCCACTACTCAACAATTTAAATAAAAATCAATAAAAAAAATGTCAACGTTGTTAACATGACATTCAACATCGGTCAACAACGGCAAAAAGAAATCAATCGAAAAAAAAGTCAACCGAGTTAAAAAGAAAGTCAACGCCGGATTACCCAATTTTGAAAAATCGGGGTTATTGGTTAAAATTGGTTAATTGATGAAATTGGGGTTAAATTATGGTTGGATAAAATTTTAGGGGTTTTTAGAATATTTTGAAAGAATACAGGGGTCTTATTGCAATTTTCTCAAAGAAAAACCCCAAATTCAACCGTTGACCGTTACTTCTTAACGGTCAAACAGATGAAGGGACTAAATGTCAAGGTTGTAAAAAACGGTAATCCGGTCGGACGCGGTCAGGGACCGATTCATGATTAATCGGTGCGACGGTGATTAATCGGTGATAAATCGGAAATAAATCGGTTTTTAAAATTTAATATAATATATTTGTAGGAATTATTTATAAATACTCAAAACATAGATAAAAAGATATTTAAACATAGTTACATCTGCATCATGTATATATCATAATTACATAATAAAAGTTTAATAATAATAAGATCATAATACATAAATATCCTTATAAAATATAAATAAAAAGGCAATTTTTTTGAAATTACATACATTCATGGTATGCATCATTAGTCCTTGAACAATAATAGTTAACATAAACAAAATAAAACATAAACTCATATTTTTTGTTTATTACAATCCCAGCCTTTATTTTGAAAAATAAAAAAAAAAACCAAAATTTGACTGATTTTTGCCACCGAAGTTTTTGATCCACCTTAAATGTTTGACCGCCTCAGAACGCCTTGAACCGCCTCAAACCGCCTCACATGCGAAAATCCGATTTTTCAAACCTTTACACTAAAATCGTAAAGGTTTTGGACCGCATCCGCCTCGGAGACCGATTAATCGGCCGGTTCGGCCGATTTTTAGAACACTGCTAAATGTGTTAAAAATGTGACAACATTAGTGTATATTTTGTTGACGGTGGTAAATGAGGGACCAAAAGTAAAAACGTACAAACTTGGGGGACCAAAACTGTAATTATACCCCAAATAAGCTTTTCCAAATTCTTCTGCCATAAGGTAAATTAACACAAATTTAAGAAACCCAACAAACTTTTGATAACCTAGTTTATAAATATGAAATGCTATTTACAGTTAGCAAATTGCTATTTGTAGTTTATAACAAAACCATCAAAACTTTTTCCAAAAAAATCCAAAAACCCCCAAACTGCAAATAGCAAAAAAAAAAAAAATCGAAAATTCAAAATCAAGCTTGAAGAAGGGTTGGGCTTCGATTGATGTAATTTCGACTCTTTTATGTGTAATATGCATTGAGTAGGTCGATTACGGAACCAATTTCATGTTAAAAACCCTACAAATCGAATTGTAGGGCTTTTTTTTTCGCAAAAAAATGTTGGAACGCACATCTTGGGTGTTCAATTAAAAAAAAAAAAGAATTTTTTTCTTGCATTGGACGCCCAACTCGAGCGCCCTAGTTGGACTTTTACACGTTTTGGGGGTTTGTATTTTTTTGGAAAATTTTGAAATTTTAGAAAGATAAAGTATTTTTTATTATAAACCGCAAATAGTAAAAGTTTGTTGGGTTTCAAGAATCCCATAAAACCTCTCTCTATTTTCAAAAGTTTATCCAAGTAAATTAACACAAATTAACACAAAAAATTCAAGAAACCCATAAAACCTCTCTCTAATTTCCAAATTAACACAAATTTAAGAAACGCCAAATCCCCGCACAAACCCCACAAAATTCGAGAAACCCATAAAACCTCTCTCTATTTTCGGAAGTGAAATCAGCCGAATTGTGCGGGGATTTGGCGGCTGACTACGGTGTGTGATTGTGTATTTTGGGCGGTGTTGTTTGGGCAGTGAAAGACTGGGTGGCAGAATTCGCACAAGGGGCTGTGACAACGGCCTACGGTGGCGTGAGGTTTGTGCCACTGTATTTTCCGGCGGTGATGTCTTGGCTGTGGAGTGGTGGCGGGACTGACAGTTAAAAGAGGAGTGGTGGTCAATTGACGGTGGTTTTGGTGAAGAAAGGACAGTGCAATTTGATCCCCCTCCCTATGTTTCGATCATCCAGGTCAATTTGAAGAATTCAATTTTTTTATTTAGGCACCCATGTTTTCTACAAGTATATATATACCAATCTGCCCCTTCGCCGTAAATCATTCGTTCAAAATTCCCCGGGAATGAATGCATCGTTTCAAATTTTGGAGCGAATAAAGCAATGCAGCAAGCTTCGGCTCTCAATCCAAGGCAAGAGTCTTCACGCCTTTGTCATCAAAACTGGCTTAGACCAGCATCTACCCCTCTATCCCAACGCGCTCATAGACATGTATGGCAAATGCGGTCATCTGAAACACGCCGTCAAACTGTTCGACGAAATGCCGGACCGAGATTTAGTCTCTTGGGCATCAATTTTCACCGCGCACAATCAAGCCAACTTCCCCCGGCAAACCCTCTTCTTGTTCTCCCGTATGTTGTCTAGGGATGGTCTCCAACCGGACCATTTCATCTTCGCGAGTCTCGTTAAGGCTTGCGCTTGTTTGTCCGCCTCGAAACTTGGTCAACAGCTGCATGCCCAGTTTGTCCTATCGCGTTTTTCTGATGACGACGTTGTTAAGTCATCCCTAGTTGATTTTTACGCAAAATGTGGATTGCCCGATCAAGCTAGTAAAGTATTCCACTCAATTGTGTCTAAGAATGTGGTTTCTTGGACTAGCTTGGTATACGGCTACGCAAGGATTGGAAGGAAAAACGAAGCCCTCGAGCTTTTACATGACATGCCTTGCAAAAATGTTCAATCTTGGACTGCTCTGATATCAGGCTTTGTGCAAGGTGGGCATTGCACAGAGTCCTTTCGGCTTTTTAATCAACTGAGAAGTGAAGGAATCGATATTGAGGAACCGTTTGTTCTTTCGATTTTGATTGTCGGTTCGTCTAGTTTAGCCATGTTAGAACTCGGAAAGCAACTTCATAAGTTAGTCTTAGGTTTTGGATACGAGTCCAACTTATACGTCAGTAACGCATTGATTGATATGTATGCTAAATGCAGTGACGTATTATCCGCAGAGAAGATTTTTGGTAGTTTGAGGGAAAGAGATGTTGTTTCATGGACCTCTATTATAGTTGGGATGGCACAGCACGGGCGAGCAAACGAAGCACTGTCGTTGTACGACGACATGACTAAAGCTGGTTCGAGACCAAATGAAGTGACATTTACTGGGCTAATATACGCATGCAGTCATGTCGGATTAGTCGAGAAAGGCAGGCAGATTTTCGAATCCATGATTGCGGATTACGGGTTAAGCCCGTCTCTCCAGCATTACACATGCTTAGTGGATCTCTACAGTCGAGCAAGGCATATTGAAGAGGCTGAGAATGTGCTAAACACAATGCCGTTCAAGCCCGACGAAGCTGCATGGGCTGCTTTATTGAGTGCATGTAGTAGTCAAGCTGGGAAAAACGAGACAGGGGTTCGAATTGCGAATCACTTGCTCCAGTTAGGAGTAGAAGACCCCTCGACGTGTGTATTGATGTCTAAAATTTACGCAAGTGCCACTATGTGGGAGAGTGTGTCTACTGTGAGAAGATTGATGACTGGTATGGAGTCGAAGAAGAAACCTGGATACAGCTGCGTTGACTTGGGAAAGGAGAATGAAGTTTTTTATGCGGGCGAGACGACGCGGCATCTTATGAAAGACGAGATTGTGGATTTATTAAAGGAGTTGGATTCGGAAATGAGGAAGAGAGGTTATAAACCGGACACGTCTTTGGTTTTGCACGATATGGGAGAGGAGGAGAAGGAGAGGCAGCTGTTTTGGCATAGTGAGAGATTGGCTGTTGCATATGGGCTGCTTAAATCTGCTCGTGGTGCGCCTATACGTATAATCAAGAATCTGCGTGTATGCGGCGATTGTCACACTGTTCTGAAGTTGGTGTGCAGCATTGTCGGTAGAGAAATCGTTGTTAGAGATGCGAATAGATTCCATCATTTTAAGGACGGAGCGTGCTCTTGTCGTGACTTTTGGTAGTAATTAATGCGACTTCTCAATGACGAGAGCGTGTCGTATTTGTGATATGGTACGATTTAATTTAAATATAAGCTGCTTATTTTTTCAGTTGCAACTATGTTTACGTAATATTGGTCTTCCACGCATGCTGACTTCTGCTGGAAACTGTGTAAAAAAAAGCGACAATACGGTTCTTGTAGCAACTGAAACATGAGTAGCTGCAGTAACCAGTAAGAGCATTTAACTAACGCCCTAAATCTTTTACCACGAATGGAACAAAAAGAAATCGAGCCTTGAATCTATTATTTCCTTAAAATCGAGCCGTGAAATCGAGCCTTGAAACTCTTTGTCCGGACTTTAACTTCATTCTCTCTCTGTAAGTAATGCCATTCTTCCCTCTGCAGATGAATCGTCTGATGGATTTATTTAGTCCTGACCCGTGGATACATCCAAATAGTCAATCTATGGTTCATGAAATTAATACAGAATTTCGGCATTGCTGACATAAGCGGAGGAAAAACTATACACCAGGATCCACTTTTTCTTACTGAGCAAGAATACAGAACTAACGTCTTTCGACAAGAAAGGCCTTTATTTGCAGGGGATGGTGTTGGTCAAACATGGGAGCGTAATAATCTCGATCAAGAACTAAAGCACTTACTAAATAATCCATCTTCCACTAGTATTGCACCAACTCGATCCTTTTACCCTCGACGAAAGGGAATATCAACTCTATGGGTTGAGGGCCCCACAGCAGACACTAACTGCAAGTAACGTTGTCAGAGATTCCGTAAAGGGTTATTGTGACCCTTATGACGAAAGCACAACAGCATTGGTGAATAGATTATCTGGCAATGCCGAGAATGGCAGGTGTTCCAGAAGAATCGTACAGTCTGGCTCGAAAAGGGGAGTTATATGAATGATCTGAATAGCCGCACGGTTTTGGATGGAGATAGAGCCGTTGGATCTCGTACTTTGCGCTCGACGCATCTCGCGAGCCTTCGGTGCTCAATCGGGGATTTCATCTCCAGCGTGAAATTGAATTGATCACTTCTGCGCCAGTTTCGAGCCGCTACTCTTTTGCGGGACCCTTTCCTTCCCAGCACAGATAAAAATCTTGCTCAAGTTTATTGTTATTAATAGTAATATCCTTCATCAATGGGGTTTCTTTTTCCTTTTTTTTTTTTTTTTTTACATATATATATTTTACCTTTTCTTGTATATTAGTTTTCTTTGTTAAATTACAAGATTGCCAACTTGTGTGTTTTGGGGCATCCTCTTTGATTTATATTCGCTTTGCCATGTAATGTTGTATTAACGTATTTGCTTGCAAACTTAGGTAACAGCTTGCTCTACATCGTAAAAAGAATAAAATAATATTCTTATTATCTGAATAATAAATAAATTATACTTGTTGAATAACAATAATATTCTCTACTGATATTAAATTTGTTAAATTACGTACAAGAATTAAATAAATAATTTCTTACAAATAATAATATTATTATAAAATGATTTATCAAACGTTATACAAAGATGGAAATTTATATACGATTCAACAAACGTTGTCCTATGCACGAGGATTACTCGTGACAATATATAAGATGACTAATAACAAATACTAATACGAAACAATTTTTTTTCAGAAGGATGCTGTGAAACTTTAATTACTCTTCAAAATAGGCGTTGAGTTCAGATGGAGTTAATATATCATTATTTTCAATGATTGAATGACAAACACTAATGTTGTGGAGGAGTGTGCACATGTCGGTACGGCTCGGTTTTTGCAATAAAGTAAACACGTACCGATAATATTGGTATTTCATATTTTAAGAACCGAACATGTCGGTGTTTTTATGGTTCGGTGTTAATCAGTTTCGGTATCAATTCGGTTTATTTTCAGTTTCGGTTTGTCGTCTATCAGTTCGGCATATAAAAACGATATTTGATTAATAGTGAATTTGGACTTTCATTACATTTGTTTGAGAAAATTAACAAATAACAACCCAAAATAAAATTAACTAATAGAAAACATGTCACATGGAGGCATTCGAAGGATAAAGGCGCGCTGGGGGAAGAAGGTAAATATTTATACTATATATCAAAACGACGTCATGTTGTATAAATCGGTTTAGTTCGGATAATCGGTTCGGTAATTTAATTTTATTATTCTCCATACACAAATCGATACTTTCGGTTTTTCAAATAACAATTACTGTATATGCGGTTTTAAGTCAAGACGGTGCATATTGGTTCTGATTTTTGGTTTACGGTTCGGTTTCTCGATTTTTTTCTCACCCCTAATGTTGTGTGCCTTTAAAAACACAAGTTTTTTGAGAAAAAAAAAATAATAAAGTCAAAATACATCATTTTGTATTGTTGTTGTTATTGTCAACTTCAATGGGAAGATATTAAAATGAAGTATCTAACACTTAATTGGTGCTTGATGTAATACTTTGATACTTTTAAAGGTGCTCCTTCCTCGTAGTTATCAAATAAATTATTCTCTTTATGTTTGTAATATGTTGAGATTTCTTTATTTTTATTAAAAGAAATCATGTAGAAATTGCAGCAGCTATTTTTAAGGAATATTTGAGTCCTCTCATTTTTCTGGCCTCAAATTCCTCCGCCACGGAGGAGTACTTTTGAATTTTCAAGTATAATTTTATTATTCCATCCCCTTATTAATTCCTCTCTATTGGAGTTGCTCTAAAAGATCGTAAACTGGTTACTGAAATATCTCAAAAAATTCTATTTTAGGAATACGAGAACTAGGGTTTTGAAATTCCCACCAACCAACAATTTCAACTCTATGTATGTAAACGGAAACATAATTAAAATAATTAAGAAAAAAAAAAAGATTAGGTGGTGCCAATTACCTATCGGCGCTACAACTCATAAAGCTTGCCTCTCTTGGAGAAGATAATGGCGTCCACGTTGACATCGCAGTAAACAGATAACTTACTCGCTTTCTTACTCTGACCATTTCTTCTCTTCGAAAAACAAACCATCCGAGCACTGTTCTCCTCGATTCGCTTGATCTCCAGCTTCTTTCTCCCCATCTTCGGTAAACAAACGGAAATATCTCTCTCTATCCCCTTTTCTTTGTTCTTTTCTAGAGAGAGAAAATAAAATAAACTTTTGTATTTATTTTGTGGATAAAAAAGCAGCCGCCTTTCCTCGCCAGCAAATTCTTGTTTCTCACACAGTGTGTGTGTGTGTGTGTTCACTTACTAGAGGAGCAGGGGTAATCTGTATCGGAGGATAATTGGAATCTCTCATATTTGGAACCGTGAGAGTGATTTTCTACTTTGCTGTGACTTAAAACAAAAAATAAATAAAATAATAATTATTATTATAATAATATATGTGCGATTACTATTTACTAACGTGTGTATATTCATTAAATAAAGTAATATAATATATGATAAATAGTAAAAATAAAAGGAGCGTACACGTGGCGACATAGGGTGGGTGGTACATTGAATGTTACCAAGAACGCGAGTGTGCGGCCGTTTTTTTAATTCTTAACCAAAACAAGGGAAAACGTTTATTACCAGAACTAAAAGCGTGTTTTACATCAATCTAAATATTGAAAATACTATTATCGGTATCTTTGATCGAAGTTACTAAGATGTTTGGTTTGTATGATTCAACATTAAGTATGCTACTGAAGTTGAAGCCCGCAATTCCCCTCTGCAATTAATTTAGTAGGAGACGACTAAAACGGAAAAATACAATTTTATCCTTAAATCAATAACTTAATTTTGTTAAATAAAAGTTTGTTTAGACAACTCACATATAACAACATGATGTAATAAATTTAAGGTCAAATGGCAAAAAGGTCCATCACATAGAACTTAAATGCACAATGATTCACAAAAAAAAAAAAAAAAAAAACAGTCTCTCAATTAAACACATCCTCATGTCTTTAGTCTAAAATACCCTCCATAATATAATTCTTATCAATTCCATCAATTATGCACTAACTTCCTTAATATTACACATTGACCTCGGATTTAAACAAATATATCACATTAACCCGCAATTATTTTTTTTCAGAAAATAATTTTTTTTCTCAATTTTTTTTCTGACCAGATTCCGGCGTTGACCGCCGGTCTCCGGAGTTAAATTTTTTTTTTTTTTTTTGAAATTTTTTTTTTCCTGAAATTTTTTTCCGGCCGGTCAACCACCGTTGACTTTTTTATTTTTATTTTTTTTTTCTTAGAAAAAAATATATTTTAATTAATATTACTGTCTTGGCTACTAAATTACTATCTCATACAGTAATATTACTGTTTGGGACAGTAATATTATGAATATTATTTTCCCGAACAGTAATATTATTAATATTATTGTCTAAGACAGTTAAATTACTGTTGGAGACAATAATTTAGCAGCCAAGGCAGTAATATTAATAAAAATAATTTTTTTTTACGAAAAAAAATTCAAAAAAAAAAGTCAATTAACAGTTAAATTATTCTCTCCGACAGTTAAATAACTGCTGGAGACAGTAATTTAGCAACGAATACAGTAATATTAATTAAATTTTTTTTTAAGAATAAAAAAAGTCAATTAACAGTTAAATAACTGCTGGAGACAGTAATTTAGCAACGAATACAATAATATTAATTAAAAATATTTGTTTTAAGATTAAAAAAATCAATTAACAGTTAAATTACTGTCTCCGACAGTTAAATAACTGGAGACAGTAATTTAGCAACGAATACAGTAATATTAATTAAAATATTTAAAAAAAATAATTAACAGTTAAATTAGTGTCTCCGACAGTTAAATAACTGCTGGAGAAAGTAATTTAGCAGCAAAGACAATAATATTAATGAAAATATTTTTTTTAAGAAAAAACAAAGTTAAAAAAAAAAAAAAAAAAGTCAACCCCGGAGACCCGGCGGTCAACGGCCGGCCGGAAAAAAAATTAAGGGAAAAAAAAAATTTCAAAAAAAAAAAAAAAAAAGTCAACGCCGGAGACTGGCGGTCTCCGGTGGTGGTGGATCAAAATTGGGGTCAAAATTGAAATTATGGTTAAAATTGGTTAACTGATGAAATTGTGCTAAATTGGGGTGTAAATCATGAAATTGGAGTTGAATTGGGTTTCAATGAATT